TGAGGTGGGAGGATCACTTGAGCCTAGGAGGTAGAGGCTGCAGGGTGAGCCAAGACTGTGCCACTGCACTCCAGCCTGGGTGAAAAAGCAAAACCCTGTCCTCTCCACCCAAAAAAAAAGAAGGTCCAAAGGGGAGGGATACAACTTGGAGAGGTGAGAGGCCAGTTCATGTGACATGACCATTTATTGTTTCATTGAGTCAACAATTGTAAGTGCCTCCTGCAGGACTGGCACTGCCGGGCACTCCAGGAACCAAGGTAAATCAGATCAAGATAGTTTCTTTAGCAGCTCCCAGAGCAGTAATTGAGAAAAGACCTATGCAATCATGGGAATACAAAAGACAGGATATTAAGCTCTCCACAAGGCACGAGAAAGCTCTGTAGGACCTGGGAGAGGAGTAGCTGGCTGGAGGAATCACAGAAGGCTTCCTGGGGGAAGTGGCTTTGAGCTTCTCCCATCAACATGCAGCTACTCCAAGCTCCAGAGCCAATCACTGAACACTCCTGGAACTCTCTGCAGGGTCCATCTCAAAGTTCTGACTCCCAGCAGAGAAACAACATTCATAGGCTGAGCTGGTCCGGGGCCCTGCCAGCCACGTTCTCCCTCCACTTATTCCAAGGAAACTGTCAGATTTTCCTGAATGCATTTTTGCTTTAAAGTGGCAAGGGCTGGGGAATTGGGAGTGTGGTGGGGATAGCTTCGCAAGTGAATCCACTAATATTTTGCCTGCTTCTTCTCTGTGTTGCCAGGACCAGCCCCTATGAGAAAGCCTAACTACAGTAAAGGATTCCTGGAGACAGGACAAGAATGAAGTCAATGAAGCATAGCAGGAGTGAAGATAAAGGCGCTTTCTTGGGCCTCACTGCCCTGGGGTGACTTGTCCAGTTAATTTTTTTCCCTCCTCCTCTCCCTTTATCCCCCCTCACTCCACTGGCTCTAAAGGCCCTGGGAAGATGTGTGATCATATTTATATGAGATTGTCTTAGGAGGTTGCCAGAAGGCCTATGTCTCTAGCTGTATTTGCCTTTTCGTGCTCCTGTAAGAAGACACAGAGATAGAGGATTATGTTGCCCTATGACCCAGATGGAGAGGTAGGGGGCGGAGGCAGAGAAGGTGACAGGCATAGCAAAGACCACACAGCAAGCTGCTACCCACATCCCTAAGAAGTATCCGAACCCCCAGAAGTTCAAATAAACATTATTCCCATTGCTGATGGTTAATTTTTCCCATTCATCCATTTCTCTATTCCATAGAAATTTATTGAACATCTGTTACAGATGGCACAAAATAAAATCTGGGTGTGATGGCTCATGCTTATAATCCCAGCACCTTGGGAAGCCAAGGTGGAAGAATACCTTGAACCCAGGAGTTTGAGACCAGCCTGGGCAAACTAGGCAAGACCCCGTCTCTACAAAATAAAAAAAAATAAGTTTTGTCAATGGCCATAGCTTATCCTCAAATATTAATCTCCCTAAAAACTGTAACACAAAAAGTGAAAGTCTTGATACATCTTTAGGACTAATTCCATTTGTTTCAGGGGATGATTTGCATGTGCCTGGTTCAACTCCTTACAACACTGTGAAATTCCATAATCATTGAATTGATTTATTCTCAGAGAGCAGATGTCCACATATATTTGCTGCCATTAGCAATGCATTTATTCATTTATTCATTCATTCATTTGGAAAACATTGTCTAAATACTTCATGCTACTGAATTTATTCTGGTGGGGAGAGCAGAGTTAGTGATGGGGTGGTGGACACACAGGTGGCCCCAGTACAGAGAATTAACGCCCCTTCATTGTCTAGCACTTGATCTCTGCATCTTGTTGGAGTTCCCCTCAAGCTCTATGAGGTAGTGCTATGGGCATTTTTGTATGAACGGGAAACTGTGGAGACTCAGAGAGTTTAGGTAACTGTACCAGGGCCCCACAGCTGCAAGCAAAGAGCAGACATACCCTGATACATTCCCACACAAAGCAGACATGTGAACAGTATGCTGAGGGAGGAGGAGGAGGAATCTATAACTCTGTGTGGAGAATCTGCTGGACGCCTCTCTAAGAGCACAGACCCCTGCCTATGGGCCACAGGCAACCATTCAAGGCCTTTATAGAGTTAGGAATGAAGTTATGTGACCCAAGACAAGAAGATCAGGATATTGTAACCGTTCACAATGGTGTGCTCCTGACCTTTCAAAGCCTTCTTCAGCATCCCTGGAGGGGGATTTGCATGAACTCCCAGGGTTGGGGAGAGAAAGGGGACAACTAGAGACAGTACAGTTTCGTGGGTGAAATAGAAGCAGTCATCGCATGCACCACTGCTGCTTCTTTGTAACCAAGGCAGAATGGAAGAGGAAGGCCTTTGGAATAACTTTCATAAATAAGCCAACCAGGCCATTTAGGTGAAGGGGTGTGTGTGGGGGGTGGGGGGGTACACAATCTGACTCCAGTGGGTGTCAGCAGCAGAGGTGACAGACAGAAAACGGCCCCCTGGCCTTGGCCTCAGGCTTTGGGATGAATGAGGCCTCTCCCAGCAACCTGAAGGCCACCCCAGGGCATGTCCCAAGACCATGTACAGACAAGGCTTCTGATTACTCATTAGCCAGCCTGGGGACTGGCCTCCATGTCGCTGTCCTTGGCCATAAACAGATGAAAGCACAAAGCCGCCAGCTTGGGGAAGGCGGGCCTGATAGCTTAGTAGCTATCTCAGCCCCTGGAATTATCAAAGCCTGAGGCAGCCCAGACAGAGGAGGGAGACTGGGCTTTCAAACACTTCTGTGCCCTTCAAAACTCCTCCTCCCCTCCTACCCCTCACCCAAACAAACAGAAGGGGAAAAAAAAAATCCCGTTATACTAGACAGGATTTTAACAGATGACTTCCAGGGCAAAGATTGCCTGAACCAGCTTCATCAAGGACATGCGAAGATTTGCTGACGAGAGGGAAGGAATCTTTCTGAAACTCCTGGAATTGACTGTTCTACCCTTGCTTTAAGGCTGAGAAAAAGGCATCTTGGATGCGGATTCAAGGTGGAGCCAAGGCACCTGAAGGCATCAGTCCTGCTCAATCTCTGCCTTCTCACCTCTCCTCTTTAGAGGGCTGTGGGTAGTCACCCACGTGGGCATGCCTACCGTTTCTTCTCCAAGCCTCTCCCACGCCGCCCTCTCTGACTGAGAATTGAAGTCTAGAAAGCAACAAGTCCTTCTCTCCACCTTGTCAGAGAAAACCTAGTTATTCACTCTAAGTCTCTACTCCACTACCCTGAACCTGGCCCTGGGACCAATCCCACAACCAGGCTGCTCTCTTGACCCTGGGTCTTTGTCCACTGTCCATAAATGGAAGTGGTAGGTTGATATTATGCAGAAGGAAACTGAAACGGAGTCAGAAAGGCCTGGTATTCAAAGCCTCCAGAGCTCCATCTTGACTAATACCTAACAGTAACAAAATACCACACGTCAAAATGGCCAGGGCAGCAGCCCAGTCAGCAACAGGAAATCATTCATTCCGTTTCCTCAGCCTTCAGAACACATTTAGGATGACCACAATGTGGCAGTTGTCAAGTGAGTGATTAGGCTAGATCCAAAGACCTGGTCCCTGATCTCAAGAAGTTCCTGAACTTGGGGAGGAATAATGTAAATAAACAATAATTATAGTAACAGGAGCTACTATTTATTGAACACTGAGATGTGTTGTTTCACACAGCAGTTATGCAGGATGGCACTATCATCCCCCCCCTTTTTTTTTAAGACCCAGGCTGGAGTGCAATGGCGCGATCTCGGCTCACCGCAACCTCCGCCTCCTGGGTTCAGGCAATCCTCCTGCCTCAGCCTCCCAAGTAACTGGGACTACAGGCGTGCGCCACCATGCCCAGCTAATTTTTGTATTTTTAGTAGAGACGGGGTTTCACCATGTTGACCAGGATGGTCTGGATCTCTTGACCTCGTTATCCACCCGCCTCGGCCTCCCAAAGTGCTGGGATTACAGGCGTGAGCCACCGGTGGCGCCCGGCCCATCCCCCTTTTACAAAATAGACCACTGAAGCTCAAAGAGTACAACAGCAGGTGATAGTCTGAGAGTCATGCCCAACCTGGTAGGTGTGACTCAGGTAGGGAGACGTGTTAAAAAGTTATTCAATGACACTTGCTCAAGCATGGTAAAACGAACTTGATTCAGGACCACTGAGACAGGTGTGGGGACCACAGCAATGAAATTCTGCAGTGAGCATGAAGCAGGGAGAGGTTGGGCTTAACTCTGAATGCCGCACGGGCAAGCAGAAATTCATAGCCAAGGAGCAGGGTAGGGGGTAGTGATGGAAACTTAGTAAGAGGAAACATAAGGGGATTCTGGCTGAACAACTCAGCAGGATTCATGCTAGAGAAGGCCCAGGGTGATCAGATGTCACCTGGGGCATGGCGGAGGATGAGGAACCTAATCAGATACTGAATGGTGGGCTGGCGGGGAGGTTCTTGCTAAATTGACTTAGTAAGGCGCTTGCTAAAATTAGATTTTATAAGAAATTGCATAGATGGGTCTCGGAGAAGGTTTAGAACCTGCTTCAAGTTTGGTCAAGCAAGGAATCCATCAGGAGAATAAGAATTTAACACTGTCAGCCACTTGGGAATTTTTCTTCTCACTTGGTGTCCCAAGTTACTTCTCCCCTTACCTGTCCTGCTGTCTTTTCTGCCTTCTTTGTTTCTTATGTTCCCCCTTTTCCCCTTGAGTCTACATTGGATCCCCACTTTGTTTTTCTTCTGCTATACACATTTAATCCATTCCTAGGGCTTCCATCATTATCTTTTACTTGCAATTTCCAAGCATGCACCTGCCGCTCCCACCTCACTCCATGCTCCGGAACCCCATTCCCATCTCCAGTCATGTCAGATACCGAAACCACCTTGCCATTCTCAGGCTACTTTGTTCAGCATCTCTTTGCCCCTTGCTTGGACCATTTGAATGGCTTCAATCTCCTGTCATTTTATTTTCTTCCAATCCAGGTCACCTTACCTGTGTCGTCTTGATTTCTCTTCCTAAATATCCTTTTTCTTACATCACAACCTTATGCAAAAAAAAAAAAAAAAATCTTCAGTGGTCCCCTGATGCCTATAGCGTTTTTCCCAGACACAGACAGAGCTCTCTGCATTCTGGTGCCAATCTACACTCTCCTCTTCTCAGCCCTTACACCCCAGCGCCACTCACTATTTCCCCAGTGCATTTCAGTGCTTTCGTCCCCCATGCCCTTCATAGATTCCTGCCCTGCCCCTTCAGGATACAGTTAAAACAGGTGTCTGTCTTTTACGGATCCAGTCTTGATTCCCGTGGCCAGATGTGGGCCCTTTCTACCGGAATTGCCATAGCACTTTGTTATTTCATGTCCTTGAGTATTAGAGTTTGGTCTCACCTTGCAGTGTGGTGCCAGGTCAGGAGCTTGAGTAGTGAAGTCAGAATGGCTTTAAATTCTGGCTCAGCAACTTTCTAACAGTGTGACCATAGGCTCTTTAATTTGAGGCTTTTTCTGCCATCTGTAAAATGGGCAAAAGGATATAAGCTTGCTGGGAAAGTTTGAAGTAATACATGTAAAAACACCCTACGCAAGCAAGTGATAGTAGGCAGTGATTTTTAATACTACGATGCAATTATTTATTCCTCACTGGCACATAAATTCCTTGAGATCTGAGCTGACCAGCTTCTAGTAATTTTTGCCTCGACCCCAGTCAACCGCCCAGCACCAGAGACACAGAAATCTTTCAAGCAGTGTTAGTTGAATGCTGACTGAGAAGGAGGAATTGTGATTTTCTCGTGTCTTTTGTCAATTTTGTCGCCGTTTTGTCAGTGTCACCCACTGCCTCCCTGGAGTCAGAGCCTCCACAATGTCTACCCCAGCCCTTTCCAGCTGCCTGCCTCTGATTCTGCACACCACAGTGCTTCAGTATCTACCCCCAGGCCATACATATAAGATGTTATTTAGGGAGTTGCATGAAAGAACTCAGTTGTAGGTGCAAATGAATGCTGAGAGCTTCTCAATGGAATAGGAATCGTAAATCACTCTGAAGTTAGGATGAAACCCTAGGAAGTCCTGCCATGCAAACCGCAATACCCTAAACCTCTGTCAAAGTGGCCCTGAAACCCCTGGAGACCTGGCAGGATATTCCTTTCTGTTGCTTGGCACTTAGCTGTTCTGAGTCTGGCAGAACACCAGCAACCCAGAGGCATATGAAAACTTAAAGCCCCAACACCATGCCCTAGATGAGACTGCAGTCTGGCCACTTGTCACTTTCTCCCTCCATCCCATAAAGCAGAGTGAAATCCTATACATGGGAAAAGGTAAGGGGACTTGGCTCTCCAGGGTGGCCTCTTTACCCCATCGTCTTGCTTACTTCTGGTGGCTTATCCTAGAATCAAGGCCTGAGATTGTTCATAACTCAGCTGGGTGTCCGAGCCAGGGGTGATCCCAGAGGACCCCAATCTCCAGCCTTTGCAGTTGTGCTAGGGAATGTTCGAGGCCAAGGCCCTGGAGCCTGGGAGGGGAGAGCACTGGTTGCAGATGCGAGCTTGCAGGAAGCTTTGATGTTCTGAGTAGAATTGGGAGGCGTGGGAAGTGAGACTTCTGTTCCCTTGAGCTCCCACGAAGCTGAAGCCTTTCCATTATCTTATAGGCCGCAGCGCAGCATAGCCTAAAGGTGCTGGCTAAAGTTCGTCTTGGCCCAGAGTAAATCAGGCCAGAACCAAAGAATGTACTTAAATCAAAGTGAAAAATTAAGACACTGTGCAGGGGAAAGCTCTCCTCTCCAAAATATGTATGCATCCAAGTGTACCCCTGTCTAGCCGGGACAGGAGCCATCAAAATGCAAATATGGGTTTTGGGAATGCTAATGTTGGAAGTGGAGAACAATACTGAGGCAGACTTCTTGGGGCCAGTGAAAGGGCCCCAGGGCAGGATATGGGAGCTGAGTGGGGGGCAGGGATGAAAGGGGCAAAGGAAGCAGTGTGAGAGAGCCTGGAGATGAGAGAACAGCAGGAGTCGATTGAGGTTGAAAGGCTGCTGGGGCAGGACTAGAAAAGGGGAGCGCTGAGAGGACCGGTCAGAGGACCTGACCGCTGACCGCTGACCCGAGGCTGCGTGTCCAGGAAAGAGGAGGGTGAGTTCAGGGAAACTTCTCAGAGTGGCAGCCCAGCGGGAAGGAGAGTCAGGACGTGCCTGGAGTCTCAGCCCTGGGCTTGAGGTCAAGGCCTGGAGAAACAGACAGTAAGATCTGTGTTTCTGTAAGAGCAGGGAAGCTGGGAGGTACACTCCACTTTGGTGCTACCAGCACGTGAGCTAGAGGGCTTGAAGGAGGGGCTTGAGAGCCAGGAGCCAGACCAAAGCCAGGGTTGGGTTCAAGGGGTCTCACTGAAAGCTGCTTCCCTGGGTTTAATTTTGCTCTTCCTGGGAGGACTGAATACATTAAAGTAGAGCCTGGCACAGCATCAATGCTTTGTGGATGTTTGTTATCTATGTAGATAAAGAAACTGAGGCTCAGAAAGGCTTATTAACACGTGCGGCTCTGGACAGCAAGGAAGTGATGGCAGCTCTATCCGAATTCAAAGCTGCTAGAACTATACCAGTAGGTTCCTGTGTGCAGTTGGGGACCCACCTCTGCCAGTGCTGGCATGAGCTAGCTGTCTTGAACTGAAAACAGATACTCAGAGATGGGCTGTGGGATCCCAGAGAGGTGGCAGAGTGGTCAAAGCTATGAAGCCAAGAGTGGGTGCCAGGAAGGAAGCCCTGAGCCCTGAGTGACTGTAATTTTAAAAAAAATTAATGCTGGGAGTGGGTGTTTATTTTGGAGGGGTGGGCTGCTTATATTTGCTTTGGGGGACTTGTTCATTCATCTTTTCTCAGTGGCGCCTACTGCTGCCCTGGCCCAAAGTTAAAGCCCAATAAATCATTGTTGTACAACTGAGTGCCCCCACCTAGACTGTAAGTTCCTGGAAGGCAAGGATTTGTGTCCCACACTTGTTTTATACCTTCCAAGATCTTGCACAGCACTTGGCGAATGGGCATTGAACGAATTCATTCACTGAAGCGTCTCTCTGGTGCCAGACCCAGTGCTAAGTGATGGGAATACACAGATGAATACAATATGATCCCTGCTCTTGGGTAACTCATTTTGGTGAATGAGTAAAGGAAAGAAAGAATGAATGGAGACTGTGGAAAGGGCCAGGCCATTCTGCTAATTGCTTTATGAACTAGTACACAGCAAAGAGATGCACCCCTCAGATACCCTGCTTTCTCTTGGGTTTTGGTGAGTGGCTGCTGAGTGGGTCTCAGAGCTTTAAAAAACCGCTTTCACAGAAAAAGGGATACACCCCTTTATTTCTCCTGCACACACCCCAGGAGTGGAGGGTCCCAGAGGGATGACTGGATGCCTGGAGCTATTTGCATCCTTTCCCCCAGGCTCTCTTGGGACCAAGGATTGCCAGGGGCCACAGGAGGCAGAAGGGACAGAGATAATCAGAGGTTCTAAGGAGGAGAATGATGCTATGCCATTTACATGTTGAGAAAAATATATATATATACACACACGCACACATACTTTTTTATATACACACACACATATATGGTGAGTATACATCTATATATATGTATAGATGGTAGGCTAAGCTTGCCACATATCAGAACAGACACCAAAATAAACAAAATATCAGAAAAGATGACCAAAGTTTTTAACTAAATAGACACTTTGGATACTGTTCATGGTAGAAAAGGCTGTGCTGTGCAGCTAGTGTCCTCTAGATTCTGGAAAGGAAATCTCAGTTTACCATTGTGCTGCTTAGCTTATAATAGGTGCACCATAAATATTTGTTGAATGAATAAATGAATGGAACTTCCATTGGTCTGGAAAGAGTACCGAATGGCAGGAGCAAAACCACAGCATCTAAAGTGCTAAAGCCGTCTGTTCTAGCAATTTATTTGCTATTTCTTGGAAGGCCTATTATTTTATAATGCAATTTCCTGACAAGCAGAAGACCAGAGAGATAGCTCTAACATCTTTAGTTATCTGAACCTAGGTAAGTTATCTAACCTGCCTGAGCTTCCACAACTTATCTGTTAAAGTGGGTATGATAATTAATTCTTTACTTACTTGTGGATAAATTAACTGTACTGAGGATGGGGTACAAAACAGAAGGGGCCTCTGTCCTTTCTAGAGGAAGAGATAGTAAGCAAATAAAAGTAGAAAATTACGGCTTTGAATTATAGGTTTGATGGAAAACCACAGGGTGCCACGTGGGAGTAGCGGTGGGCCCTCATTCAGATTGGGGTGCAGGGAGGGCACTGGTAAAGTGCCATTTATGCGGAGACCTGAAGGATGAGTTAGGAATTGGCCAAGGGAGTGAAGGGAACGGCATGTGCAAAGGCCTGAGGCAGGAAAAGCTGGGGGAGGGGGGCTGGAATTTCAAGCAGCCAGGAAAGACCACCGCGGTAAGGCTACATGGGGAGGGACAGAGATGCTCAGAGGTTGTAAGGAAGGGAATGATGCGGTGCCATTTACAGGTTGAGAAAAGCACTTGGGCTGCAGCGTGGAAAACTGTTTGGGGCTGAAGTGTTAAGAACTGGATCTCAGTTCTTAAAAGAACCTGAATGTTAGCGCCAAGGACTTTAAAGACTATCTGGCTCTAACCTCTCATTTGAAACAAGGGGGGAAAAACCCCAAAACACAAGAACTACAATTGTGAGGAGCCTTGGCCAGGATCGCACGTTAATCTGGCTGTAATGTAGCTGTGAACTAGGGTCTTTGACTGCTCTTTCGCAATTTATGAGCCTGTGCCCGCTGGGCCTTCTGCAGTGGTGGGGTGGCCGGGAGATGACTGCGGGGCGTCGGGGTTTTGAGGCAGGCGAGGGTGGCGCGCAGGCCAGGCTCCCGCGCGCCCCCAAGCCGGGCCCAGGCCTAGCGCCTCTCGCCGCCGCGCACATTCCTAAGAGGAAACTCGGGGCTCACCGGGCCTGCGGCGTAGGTGGCTCGGCCCTCTCCTTGGCTTTCCCTCCCGGGCCCTACTTGCGGAAACCCACAGCGGGAGCCTCCCGCCCGCCGCGCCCCCGCCCCGGGACAGGAAACGAGCAGGGACAGCTCCCAGCGCCCCGCGGCCGGGCTAGCAACCCGGAGGCGGAGCGCTGCGATTGGCTGCGCGCGGGAGAAGCGGCGGAGCGCTGCTCCAATCACGGGCCGCGCCGGGAGGCCGCGCCGCCGGGAGGCCGCGGGCGCGTGCTCGCATGCCTGTGGTATTTGCTCAGAGGGGCATGACCACTTCGGGCAAGTCTTTAAATGTGAGTCAGCTTTCGGCCGATCCCTGGGAAAAATTCCTTCGGTGTTGTCAGGCAGGGTTCGCTAGCTGCAGCTCTCTCTCTCTCTTTTTTTTCTTTAAACAATTCAAAAGGGATAATCCTGCTGAATGGGAAAAGGCATTCGGACCCTGTCCCCGCTCCCCGGAGGAGAGGCCGCGGGCGGCCCGAGGACCTGGTTTTCCGGAGGGTCAGGGCACCCTCTGTTTTTTCCCGCGCCCTCTTCCCCACCTTTAGCAGGGCACAAAGGGCCACGGCGGAGGGTCGGGGGTGCGAATACACCGCGGGGCGAGCAGTGCCCCCTGGAGTTGTGCGCGGCATCTACCCGACGTGGGGAATGCCCGGTCCCGGCCTCCCTTTCTCCCGTTTCGTGGCTCTTCTGGTCCTGAACTTGGCCTGGGGAAGCTGTGCGGTCCTAGGTCAATCTCTCCACCTCCCTAAGCTTCAGTTTCCTCACTGGTGAAGGGAAAGGCAGACAGTAGAAGAAGCGAGCTGACCCGGGACTGTGGACACTTGGCGAGTTCTCCTAGCTTAGTCTTCCCAGCTTGCTTGGAAGCCCCTTCTGCACTCCCGGCCTCAGTTTCCCCGTCTGTAAGATGAGGGAGCCGATCTGGAAGAGTCCATGAGTATGAGTGTAGTGACATCAGGCGATTGCCCTCCCCCTTCCTGGGGCCTGTGACTTGGCCGCCTGCGGCAGCATAACTCCGTAGCTGCTTCCCAGGCCACCCAGCCTCCCTTCCCCGCCTGTCATCTCAGAGACACCCAGCAGGCAGGATTGGGAGCACCAAGGGAAAAGAAGACCAAAAAAGGCTGAGGGCTGAGGGAAATGAGTTAGGACTGAAGGGATTTATGTGCAATTTGATTTTAAATGAACGTCTTGTGCAAAAGAAGAGGTGATTTGACACCTGTTACTGGTGAGTTAATAGCGTAGGCACTCTTGGTAATGGGGGTACAATACTGTGAAGACCAGATTAGCTCATTGTGGCAGCAAATTATGAGTTGACCGGAGGCTGGTCACGGTGCCTTATGCCTGTAATCCCAGCACTTTGGGAGGCCGAGGCGGGTGGATCACCTTAGGTCAGGAATTCAAGAGCAGCTTGGCCAACTTAGTGAAACCCTGTCTCTACTAAAAATACAAAAAATTAGCTGAGCGTGGTGGCAGACACCTGTAATCCCAATTACTTGGGAGACTGAGCCAGGAGAATCTTCTGAACCTGGGAGGTGGAGGTTGCAGTGAGCCGAGGTCGCACCACTGCTCTCCAGCCTGGGCCACAAGAGCAAGACTCTTGTCTAAAAAAAAAAAGAGTTGACCAGAGAGATGCTGTAGAATCTCTACTTGGGAATCTTTGAAAGATAAGGCAGACACCCCCTGCCTCCTTTGAAGGGCTTTGAAATCCAGGCAGAGTGAAACTGTTAGAGCTCTCTGAATCAAGAGAACATTGGAGCACTGGCTACTTCTGTGGGTGAAAAGTGTGGTTTGGTACACAAGAGCATTGCACTGTGCTACTAACACAGGGGTGTGACCTTGAGCAAGTCACTTGCCTATTCTCAGTCTCCTTTTCATCTGGAGCAGGATGAGGGATTTAATCTAATTGACCTCTTAAAGTCCCTTACAGCTCTGACACTCCAAGATGAAATGGAATAATGTGTGAGAAATTGCTTTGAAAACTGCATAGCACTAAGGGTCTTTTTGTTCTGTTTATAGAGATAAAGATGATCTGAGAGTTCATTAAACTCTGAGACCGACTGTAAATCAGGCCATCCACCTCCTACGAGCTGAGTCTGCAGCAGGGCATTTGTTTGGCGACAGAGTTTCTCTGGCCTGTGAATCAGTATTATTTATTCTGTTTGTACTGTCAGTTCCTGCCCTGGTTTTACAGCCTGAGCCAGCCACTCTTCGCTCTCTGCCTTGGTTTCTCTACCTCAGCTTGCCTTTTCCAACCTCTCGTGATTCAGATGAATCGCATTGTGCCTTTGCCAAGCCTAGGTCCCCTGGAAACAGGACTGCAAATTTGCAGGAAGTAAAAACGAGAACCAGATTGGTTTGCCAGCAATTAACTTTGACCATTCCCCTTTTTCCTTCTCTGGGGGCTAGGGGATTTATGGAGATGGCGAGGGGAAATAGACTGAAGATTGAGAAAGAAAAAGGCAGGGGCCAATCATAAAGGAAAGGATTTAAAAATGTATTCCTATCAATTCAGAAATAGGGAAAGACATCTAAGCCATCAGAAGGGTCAGATGATCATTATGCATTATACAAAAAACAGAATTCCTGGACTGCAGAAGCCCACTGCAGCGTTTAGTTCTGCTTGGGCAGGTCAGTGTAGTCTTCAGAGAAGGGTGATATCTGGGATATTTCTTAATGAGAGAGAGTGATTTTTCTTGTAGTGAGAAATGCATCTAGCCCCTGGGTAGAGCCTGAGCAAGGCAGAGAGTAAGACTATGTAGTGGGGCTTGGGTCTCCTAGGAACGGCCAATCACCAGGTATGTTGTGAGCTCAGGTGAAGATGGCAGAACTGGAGCTAGAAGGCAGAGTTATAAATGGTCTTATCTGTTCTCTTAAGAAATTTGGACTTTATTTTGTAGGAAATGGAGAATAGTTGCTGTTTTTTGAATAGGTGAGAGAGATCAGTGGTAAAGAAAATTGTTTTTCAAACTTTAGGTTATACAAGGAATTCAGGTCATGACTGACATTTTAAAAATAGAATGGATGAGAATAGAATGGAATAGAAATATGAAAATCCATGCATGCTGTATTGGCTTATGAAATATATGAGATTGTGTGTGTGTGTGTGTGTGATTGTTTATGTTCTAGATGGTGGTATGAAATACACTTATTACAGTGGGTCCTTGTGAAAAAAAAGGTCTGAATCCACTGGAATTGCAGACCCTTCATGCTGAATGGAGGAGGATAGATGGGAGGGGGAGAGACAAGATGTTCTTGGAGACAGGAAAGGTGAATTGCATTCTGTCCCACTTCAAACTCTCAAGAAGGAAATTGCTTAACTTTTGAAAAGAGTTAACCCATCTTTTCCAAGTCCTCCTCTGCAGAGGAAAGATGATTATATTTGCCCTGCAGAGTAATGGAGGAGGCCACTAAAGTATTTGGTACCCTGCTTCATTGGCAGGGCGTGTTACCTAACAGGGCAGATACTGTGGATCAATAGTTGAGACTCAGTTTCTTCCAGTCTCTACCACGCACCCACATGCCTGTGGTACAAATCATGATCCTGTGACCTAAAAATGATGTTAGTTTTCCATTTTTCCAGTGAAACATTGCAATTCCTATAGTCAGCATTTTGGGATAGTATAGCCCGTGACTGGTATTCAGGCATATGTTTAGCAAAGATGGGAGACACCATCCCTGAAACATGAGTAATAGCCTTATATTTAAGGCACTTAAGAAGGCTGATAACCTCCCTCAGTCAGTAATATCAGTGTCTTAACAGACCTGAGGGTTGGGGAGCCTTTAGGGATAATGAATTCCCTCCTGATGCAGTCATAGAACATCTCCTATTCTGCTGGTCTCAGAAAAACTGGAGAGCAGCTGGCTACCATCTGCCCTATGACATGCCCATTACTTTAAGACCGTTTCTGGGCGTCAGTGTTTGCTTTTTCTCAGGCAGCCTTACATGCAACAAGGGCCCATTTACTTTCCTGAGTCCAGCCATGTGAAGAATGTTGCTCTCTTGCAGCAATGCAACATGGTCCAGTTCGTTTCTTCTTAAGGTGAATGACACTGTACACATTTGGTTACAGATTGTACATATCCATGGTCTGTTCTCCTTTCCTTTCCCAAACCAGACTCTATGCATTTGGTCCAGACACCACTTCAGTTTACATAACTCCAGACACAGCCTCATGGTTGCATGTTCTCTCTTCACACTCTACACATGTACATGTTCTTCCTATCTGAGTTGGGATTGTTTAAGTTCCCTTGATCCTGACTGGTTCCTAATCCATAACAAGAGCAATGTACCATGATCTGAATATGACTGTGTGCCAAGCCTTGTGCTAGGCGCTTTATTATATTCAGCAAACTTCAAGAGGCAGTATTACCTGTCTTTTGCAGATAAAGAAACTGAAGCTTGGCTATTGTTGATAATTGCACATCTAGTTAATAATCAAGTTGAGTTGCAAAACTAAGTTTATTTAGATTGCAGACCCATGCTTTGACTCCTGAGATACTCTCCTTTCCCTGATTCTTTTCTGATAGCCTCCTTCGCTTGACAGCTAGGAAGGATTCCTTCTCTGTCTCTTCCCATTTTGTCTTAATAAAATCATGAAAATCCCTGTTTAGAAAGAAGGTCGAAGTGGAATCTACTTTTGCATTGGCACTCATACAGAGGAAGGACATCCAAAAGTCGTTATGTCTAGACTTTTGCATCTCGACAGACTTCCCTTGCTGTGAGAGAAAGGGCTATTCTCAGCATAAAATAGAGGAAGAGGCAGAATGAAAGTGCCCCAAATCACACAGCTCTGGATCTAGAGATGATTGAACAATGAGCCAACCATATGCTCCACTCTATCCATCCTACACCCCTTTTTAAATCACTTATTCATTCCTTATTTACAGCTTTTCCCTCCATCCCTACCTTCCTTTGGTCATCTACTGTTGTGTCAGAGACACCAATCAGTCATTCCACAGATAATGGGTACGACGATCGAAGATCAAACATCTTTGATGTGAATAGCACTTCTCTTGGCTATTATCCAATACCTGGGCACTGGCCATTCTCTGTGGCCAGGAATATGATCAGGGCTGGCCACATGTATAAGGAGAGCATGACATGGGGGAAGTGTATGCATTTACAGCTGCCAGTCTGGAAGACCATCCTTTTGACCAACATGGGCTCCTATGAGACATAACAATGCTTTTTTCCCTTTGCTTGGAGCAAGGAACCATAGAGTTCCCTGAGTTGGAGAGATTCTAGTGGGTTATCTGATCCAGCCTCTTCCATCTGATGCAAATATTGGCATTAGAT